ACACACACACACACACACACACACACACACACACACACACACACACACACACACACATACACACACACACACACACACATATATATGTTATACCTGACTCTAGATAAAACTCAAGGAATACTTCATACTTCTATATTTTTCAAGACTCTGCAGGAACTGTGTCAGATAAAGGACTGCCTGATTGTAGAGTCTGATAGGTTTTTGACAGGAATATAGCTGAACTGTAAGATAAACACAAATCTTGGAAGAGGACGATGTGAACATAAACAGTCCTGGCTGCGAAGTTTATTTCAGATCAACAAACATGAATCATTCCTCCAGCTCACTTCTGAAGAACTAACTCCTCCTTTTCAATCTCACAGTTTTATGTTCATTAAATTAGCTAATCTTGGTAGAAACAGCAGCGTAAATCCAGCTGTAATCCTTTAACTTTGATCACTTTTCTTTAACTACAAAAGATCAAAAATACAAAGTACCTTCACATATTTAGCATAAAGCTGTTCATCCAGAGGAAAACTCTGGACTATCCGCTCATCCCGGGCATGAAAAGTACCCAGCTTTAGCCACTTGTTGGTGGGATATCTGCAAACACAGAGAGGAAACAGCAGATGCATGTGAGGACTGCAGATTACTTAAAAATTTTAACTAGTTCTGACAGCCTGGCTGTAAATGACACTGTCATTTAATTCAGAAACCTGTTTAATATCTGTAGTGAATCAGGGCTAGGAATAGATCCTAAAGGCTAAACATGTGCAACTGCAGCTCTGACATTGCTAAACTTAAGAGATAACAAGAATACTGCTGGTACATCAGTAAATTATGAGTGTATTCAAAATTCATAGTGAGAATTCCCTCACACAACAATCCTAACAGTGTTTCTGTTGAGTTTATGAAGGACTGTGGGGAGCTGAAGGGTTAATACCACTGATTATTATTAGGTCCCTGGTGTAAATGAACAAACAGTTCAYTTCAAGAACATGTAAGATCAGTATTGTCTATCGTGTCTCGATCAGTAATGTCTTATGTCTCTCTTCAATGGGTGTTCTTAAATGTAATTTTGTTGTGCTCTGTACAATGATAGTAAAGGCATCATCAATCAATCAAAATGTGAATAAATTACCTGTAGATGACTGTCAGCCTATCAAAACATTTTATGATCAGATAGTAAACTTTACAAGAACCACTCATGCTTTTTACTGGTGGAAGTGCTTTTAATAAAAAATAACATGGAGCCATACTCTGATGACATTTTGTTTTCATATCTGTGGAGTTACATCATGGACAACAACTGTGTACTATATTTTACTATCTATTAAATAGGGGTGTAAGAAAATATCAATACACTGAAATATCGCGATATTTCATGTCCCGATACTGTATCGATATTCTAAAGCCCTGTATCGATTTTTTATTAAGGTTTAAAACGTCAACTTTCCTGCCAGCCGTTCATTTTTATGTTGTAGTTCAGCCTC